AAAGTGATTACCTATTAGAACAATGGTTGAAGATAGGTATTAACATTCCTTATATATACTCTACATTATACATCACACTGCTTTACACTTATTTGCCACTTAAAAATTATTTGCTTAAAGTGAATATATAAAACAGAGAAAATAAATTTAAAGTACAAAAGCTAGCAGGTCAGGCACCTTGTTAGAAGCTCTGAGTTACTGAATGCCAGTAGTAGCAATGAAGACCAATGGGATGACAAAGGAGAGAAACCCTCAAAAATTTTAATGAGGGTAAAAGGTCCAATGGTTCATTCCCATTACTTGCTATATTTCATCTTGTTTTAGAGAGTTCACAAAGTGTAAGACAATAGTGCAAAATCTGTGATTTTTATGCCTTGCTGTTTTCTATTATAAGCCTTAACCTTGTGACGGTGATAAAGTACATAGTAAGTAAGTTTTAGGGCCTTTTTCTAGCCAACTATACAGTGTCTCAGGGGTCTAAATTTAAGTACCATTAACTAGATTTTTTTTTTTCCCAAAAAAGAAATATAAAAACTTGAGGTTACAACAAAGCTGGGTTAAAAGGTGTATACAGAGATAAGCATCAAGTTTGATATAATAAAACCATCTTGAAAGAAGGCATTTCAAAGTATTTTAATAACCTATATCTAACAAAGATTGAGAAAGTATCTACAAAACATTACAGGGTTGTTGGGTGTTTTTGATTATATATAAGCACATCTTCAATCCAATTTCAAAGGCCCACTTCTGCTGTGTTCTTGAGATCTTGGGAGATATACTAGATAAGATATTTTAGTAACAGTGAAAGAAAACAAACCTATCTAGTTTAAGAAAAAAAAGGGAAATCACTTCAAGGCTACTATCAAGTTCCAAGAGTATCCTATTGACCCAATGGCTGTAATGCAACCAATCTTCAGAAGCAGATTGGAACCTGGAAATGAATGGCTTCCTCATTATTAATTTGGGGTGAACGATCTCTTTCTCTGGTCTCTATGTCATTTTCAGTGTGTTGGCTCCATTCTGCTGTTTTCACAGCTCTCTCTGACACTCAAACAATGAGGAAAAAACAGCTGTGTTCTGGTACCCAAGTGGTCAAGAAGTTAACTAATATACAAACTGAATGGTCTTAGTCAAAATTCCAAATCCTCATGGGAATGGATTCTGATTGACCCAGCCTGTGTCTTATGCCCACACATGTGACCTGTGGAGCTGTCACACTGAAATAACATGAGGAGGGTCCCACATATTTATCTAGGGAACATACCACATATAAAACAGCGATTTATAATTATTATTAAATATTAAGAATAACACATTTGTCCATTAAACAAAGACTTAATGAAAACCTACTACATTTTAGGCACCATTCTAGACATTGACTATTCAGATAGTAAAAGTAAATAGAGTATATGGTTAAACTGCTCTCGTGAATCACAGAAACTAGAGTGGTTTCTTACAAAGCGAACAACAAAAAAACACTACGACCTTGCTAGTAGAGACGAAAATAAGGATGGAAAATATTTTTAAAACAAAAATACTTTCTTAATTTCTTAAAGACAGAAATAAATTCCAAAATGAAATTTAAAATCCCTATCTATGATGTCTTTCTAAACACCTTATAGATATGGGTCATTCTTAGAGGAAGGGAAATTACACATCTCTATAAAAAGCGGCTCAATGAATTACAGTTCTATAAATATATGTGAGGGCTATGTAATCCATAGGATAAGTTAATGGAAGTTTACTATTCACTCATACAATTCAAAATTTATCATAAATGATAGCATAATGCAACATAACTAGATTTCCTTTATACGGGCTCTATTTATTGCAATGTGTCAATATTGAACAGATTATGTACTTTGGAAGGAAGCTACTAAAAACACAAATGAACCATAATGTAGTTATCAGAAGGAATTAAATTTTATATTAAACAGAGAGCTTTTAGCATATTCTAAGGTATAGTTAGAAATAATGGCTCATCCAGTGCAGTAGAATGAAGATTTCAGCTAATAGTCCTAACTTTCAGGGACTCACCAAAAAACAGAGAATGGGAATCCAGAGAGTTCTGTCCTAGGACCACTTGTTGGACTAACACTTGTCAATCTCCCTTGACTATTTCATCTTATCCCCAAATGCTAATTTGTCATTTGGGTGCTGATGTTTCCTAGATATTTATCTATATTATAAGGGTCTCTATCTCTCCAATTTAATATTTTATTCCATCCCCCAATTTATCTTCATCCACACTATACTATAAGTTCCATGAGAGGAAGAACCCTGTTTGATTCATTTGAACGCATGTGTACAGTATCTAAAGCAATAACACTAGGTACACATTTATTAACTCTGACTTAGGGCCTTCTTTCTAAGCCTTAACTTATATTACTCCCATTGGAATGCCCTCCCACCCACCCACTTTGTGAGCCTCTATTCATTTTCTCATGACTCAATCTAAGCATGTTTCTGATGAAATCTTTCCTGAATCCTTCAGAATTACCCATTCCTTTCTTTGCCCAACACCCACACTTACCATTAACACAAGACCATGCTTTCATTCTGATTCTGGCTTCTTATTTCAGTCTTGCCAACTAAAAAATTTTGTATGTGCATATATATGTATACATGCACACACACTCATACATGCAGTAATTATCTATTACACATCTGTAACCCTCTACAAGACTGCAAGATTGTTGAAACCAAGAACAATAGATTACTTGCTATTGTATCCTTGGGCTAAGACCATTTGCTGAGTAAATGAATACATGTCACTATTAGAAATGATTATTTTCCAAAGGAACAAAGTATAAGCTCTTATTAGTAAGTCAAAAACAAAACCTATTATAGTTATCATTAAACAAACATTAAAATTGAGATATGTGCATGAGTTAGTACAAAGTTTATATGAATTTTTAGAGATGCTTCTTAGGAGCCAATAATTACTTTTTTAAAGAAATAACTTATTTCTTGCTCCAAGTACAAATCTTGGTCCTCCTTATTTTATTCTTTCCCAAATCTGTTCATTCTATTAACTTATTTTTTTTTTTACTTCAGTATAGTTCCTAAAAATGTAGAATATCCAATGGTATAGACCATGATGCCCAAAGATTTATATGCTACTTTCATATTTCTAAGATTAAAATTGACTAAAGTCAATTTTTGATCATTCTGTTACCTTATAAGAGATTAAGAATGATAAAATAATAAAATATGTAATAAGACAATTTTATGTTATTTATTTTAAAGACTGTCATAGTACTCATGTTATTTTTTGTTAAGCCAGTGAAATCTAGAGCAAACAAAGCAAGGAAAGAATAAGAAGAAAAACTAACATCTTAGATTGCCTTTTAAAATTTTCTCATATTATTCTGTTCTAATAGACCATTTAACCCATTTCCTCTGTTTTAGAATTCAGCTCTTACTTTTCCTTTTCTACAACATCATTGAGTTTCTTGGCATTTCTAACTAAATCTACAAATCAGCTCATATACCATCAAGTTTTTATTTTGATTTTGAAGAATAAATTCTATCTGAAAATAATCAAGACATGTTAGAATCTTGCAAACAAATTTTAATAATTAATACTCAGATGCACTGCTATGAAGAGGTTGTTCTAGGATAGCTTGTATGTGTTCATTTCTTGAAACGGTAGTCCAAAATAGAAAAAACTAAGTGCTAAGTTCTTTCTAGGTCTTCTCACTCAAGGCTTCAGATAAATTTTTACTATCTACTCTTGATAAACAAAGATGTCATAATTAAACACCATAGCTAATACAAGCTACATAACCTGTAGAATTAGAGTTCTATCAACCAAACAATACTATATGGAAACACCTTGATATGGAAATTCCCTATATCAATACTAGTATGATAGTCATTTTAAAAGCAGATATCATGTCTCATAGTGTTATTTAAGTTTTGAGGTGGTACATTTTCTGAGGTTGTTATCACTTCTAGACGTTTTTATTACATTCAAAGTATTTCAAAAATGACTGTTTTTTACTTCTTATCTAAGTATGGAATGATTAAAAGTATCATAGTTCTCTAATTTACTATCTACTAAATAGTTTACTGTATCATTATTCAAAACATTATTTACATCTTTATTTATATAAGACAGTGCTCCTGAGAAGTCTGTAAATAATATTGAAAATAAGATTGAATATATTCTAGGGATGCTATTATTTAAAATAATCTTATTAATTCTTTTATGAAGAATAAATTATTAGTTATACAAAACACTGCATCCTCATCTCACTTCGTCAAAATCTCTTTGAAGTTCAGATTTTCCTATACCTGTTCCGGATGAAGCAAAACTTAAGAAACTGTAGGCATTAAGTACTAATAACAGGTTTAACAGAATAAGGATAAATGAGAGCCCCAAAAACAAGTCTGTAAAAGGACTCGTCTCTGGGTAACTTCATATATGCACGTGTGCGTTTATATGCATGCATATATCAACTTATATAAGTACTTGTGATTTCCTATGACTCTCAATAATTTGTTGGTTTTCAAAAACTGATGTCATTTTTCTTCTAAAGTTAACAGTATTACTCTCATTATGGTAATATGAAATAGTTTAAAATTTCCAAAGTGACAGAATGGGGCAGAAAAGGAGATTACTAGCTAAAGTTACCAATTCTTATCTGATTGGTCCTCTGATGCTCCTAGCCCACAGTCTAAAGTTTTCCTCTTGCCCGCCATTCAGAAAAAGACACGCTTGCTAGAAGTCATGTCCTACACCCTGACAGAATCTTCTATCAATCTTAGGGCAACAGTAACTGTTCTAAACTAGGGTGTCAATCATGATGCCATTGGTACTCTTTTTCTTTTCCTGGGTGTGCCTTGGCATCTCTTCTCTTCTACATGTCTACAGTCATGAACACTGCCAGGCAGGGCAGACGAACATAACCATCAGGTACAAGAAGCTGGTCTGTCTTTTGCATTGTGACACCACTGTGCATTTACAAAGAAAGAAGAGAAAGAGACAGCTTTACCCGCAGGAAAGAGAGGTCCCGATTGTGCTCGATGCTGGTTATCTCCAGGTTGCCCATGACTACCTCACAGTTCTCATAGTATTTGCGCAAGGCTCGGTACTGCTGTTCCAGGTCAGAGAGAGAGCTCAGCTTATTCTCTGTTCCTGCGCACACTGCCAAGACAAGAAAAAACATGGGAAGTTATGTAAACTTTATATGACATGCACCATGACAATATTTCCCTCAACTCTCTTCCACAACAATCTACTCCAATTCCCTGAATTAAAATATTTTGAATGTTATTAAGACCCATAACCCAAACACTGATAAATATCTTCATTTTTATTTTTTCCAGCTTTACTGCATTATAATTGACATATAACATTATGTAAGTTTAAGGGGTACACATGCGGTATTGATACAGTTATATATTGCAAAATGATTACCACCATAGCATTAGCGAACATCACCATCATGTCACCTGATTACCATTGTTGGTGTGTGTGTGTGTGTGTGTGTGTGTGTGGTGAGAACATTTAAGATTTACTCTCCCAGCAACTTTCAAGTATATAATACAGTATTGTTAACTATAATCACCGTGTTACATCCAAACTTATTCATCTTATAACTGGACGTTAGTACTTTTTGACAAAAATCTCCTCATTTCCTCACGCCCAAGTCCCTGGTAACCACCATTCTTCTCTTTGTTTCTATGAGTTCAGCTTCTTTAGATTCCACATATAAGTGACATCATACATTTACATTCATAAAATGTATGTACTAACCACAGAGAGTAAGAAAGCATGGGTTCCACAGAAACATATAGCAAGGAGATAAACTTAAAATAATCACATTTGCTGTGGGCATATAAAGCATGTAAATACATTTAATTTCACTCAAACAAGATTTTCTTTCAAATTTATAATTACTCTATTTTCTACCTATGGAAGTAAATCAAAATCAAAAGATGATAAAAGTAACAATTTTATTTAAAAAATATTTTTGTATTGCAAAGTAATCTGATCTTAGTAAATTTTCTACAGAATTAAAACTTATGCTTTAAGCCCTCAAAAATGCTACCTTTTAAAATAAAAATATTAAACAACTTAGACTGAAACATTTATAAACATACACTACAAACAATATGTACTGAATTATAAACTTTTATCATATCAACTGTGTCGTTGTGTATTCATTAGTGTTCTGAGGTAAAATAGACTGTTTGTTAATAAATGTTCTCAATCTGCCATCTTTGGGGGGTGGATTTTGAATGTTTATATATAAGCTCAAGAGTATACACACATCTGTGTTTTTTAGGTTGTGTGTGTATGTATCTTTCCTCTCCTCCAGAAGTCAGAGTTTTAGTTATTACTTCTCATGGTTTGCATAGCTACCTGAACAATTTAATGCACCAACTCTACCATTTAATGCACCAATTCTAATCTTCAATAGACTGAAAAAACTCTATTATGATAAGTGTGTAAAGTTAAAAAAATGAATTGTGAATGAAACATCTTTGAGTACATTACATGGTATACACCAAACTTAGGACAAGATACATGCAGTAAACACTGAAGACACTAGAAAAAGAGCTTAGTAATGATGTCAAATATACATTTGTGTGTCATCTCCACAGGAATGACAAAGAAGACATGAGGCTTGATGTGGTGCTCAAGGGGATAAGTTTCAATACAGAAAGGAAAAAAAAAATCTAGATTGGTATATTCTAAATAATTAGGGTCACCATAAAGCCTGTTTTTGCCTATTGACACATCAAAAATAACAAAAATCTGGATCTAAAAGTCTTGAAGAATAACATAGACCTCTAATCATAGTGGAAGTTCATTATAAAAACCAAAATAAAACACAAACGTTTCTTGTCTGGATTTCTAAACCTCATCAAACAGTATATTTTCTAGAAATACTCTTTTATAAGTGGAATTGTGTCCCTCTAAGAGATATACTGAAGTCCTAACCCCTGGCACCTGTGAATGTGACCTTGTTTGGAAATATGGTTTATGAAATTAAGGTAGGATGAGTACGTTAGAATAGGCTCTAACCCAATATATTCAATGTCCTTCTAAGAGGAAAACACCCTGTGAACATCAAGACGCACAGGGGGAAAGCCATGTGACCACAGAGGCAAAGATGGGAGTGATGCAGCTGCAAAACAAGGGATGCTAGCAACTGATGGCCAACACCAGAAGCTAGGAAGAGGCAAAGGAAGATTCTACCATGGGTCTCAGAGGGAGCTTGACCTTACTGACACCTTGATACTAGACTTTTGGCCTCCAGAACTGTGAAAGAATAAATTATTATTGTTTTAAGCCATCTAGACTGTGGTACTTTGTTAAAGACGCCCTAGGATATACAATCTTCAGGCTCTTTCTACCTGAAATCTCACATTTAAAGAAACATTAAAAATCACTTCCATACTCCAGGGTTCGATTAGTTTATCACCTTGAAGTTACTCTCCCCATTCTCCCTTCTGAATGTCAGAGTCCTCATACACCATGCTGGAACTCATTTGTTGCCCTTGAGAATATACTTTTTGTAGTGATAAGGATGGATACAAAGACTTCTAGAATCCTCAATATCCATCCTCTTCTTCCTTCACAGTAACAGACTGCACAGTTTTAGCTGGGCTTGTGGCCACCCCAAATAAAGATTACATTTCTCTGCTCCTCTTGGAGGTAAACTTTGCAGGGGACTAAGTTCTAACAAATTGTATGACACTTTCCCAGAACTTTATTTAAAACATGGTTGGAGCCTAACTTTGACTCCTTTCTTTCCCACACCTTCCTCCAATCTGCTGCCTGGAATGGAGATGTGATGGTTAAAACTTGAACCGCCATCTTGGAGCATAAGAATGAGGCACACACTAGAGACTGGCTGAGAAATGAGCTAAAGGAACCAGGATTTTCAAACAAACCTGTTTACATGTTTATTAATCATGTTTATTATCATTAATATCAAGATAATAGTGAAAAAAAAAGATAATAGTGAATATTGGTCCTGGCTGCTAAAATATTATACGTAGGAAGGATTAAATTCAAATTAAGGTATATGCTTCTGACCTTAAGTAATTTTAACTATTCTGTCTTGTTGTTTAACTGAATTTATTCCAATCGTAATAAAACTACCAAATCATTCTTGATCATCTGAAAATTTTACTGGTTCTGTGGAAGTTTCCCTTATTACTAAAACTAACAAACATTATGAAAAAAGTAAACTTCTATTGATAAGTACAGTAATATTCAACATAAGCAGGAGAACAAGAAGCAATTGATTCTGGTATATGATCCTTCTCCATCAAGATCAAAGTCCCACTTTTTTTTTTCAATAAACTGTAGAGACTCTAAAAAACACTCCTGAGCCACAATCTTTATTTTTATTGCTCACGGCAGCTTTATAACTTGTAAAATGTCTCCTGAGAAAAGGTATAATTATATGGGTTTATGAAATATAGATTTCAATTATTTTAAATTCCAAGGAGGACAAGCTTATATTTTAATGCAACTACTGATGGGGGTAATTAAGCATCAATTAAGAAACTTGCTCACCATTTCTAAAATGTATATAATGCCACATTGCAATTTATGTATCGTTTATGTTGTACAAGTTTCTTTCAGTCGGAAATAAAACCCACACTTTAATATCAATATGTAAAAATCAATATCTAAACATCTAAATGAAAAGATTTCTAAAATATTTAGTGTATTCTGACCTTTTCTATAAAAGCTTAAACAAATTTTGCGAGAAAATCTATCAATATAACTGTAATGCCTATGCATTTTTTCATGCTTCTCATTCTGCATATATGAAAAGAATATATAATATTAAATTGTTCTTATTAATTATTATTACAATAATCTGTTATATAAGAGACCTACAAAGGCTATAAACTCTTTGAAGACAGATGCAATATATTAATCATTATTTTGTATCTGCTGAGCTGTATAGCATAGTGCTTTGCAAGAAAGTTTTCTTTTTTTTTTACATTTATAAATATATTTTATTGCATGCATTTAGTTTCACATTTTTGGGGTAATTCAATTTTTATGTGGAAAGCTTAAAGAAAATTTGAACAAAGTGAATAATTTAACTTTTACCCATAGGTGACTGCCCATTTCACAGAGGACTTCTCGCTGAATTCTGCAATTTTTCAACTGATGGGACTCAGTGATGTTCTCTCAGTAAGTGGCCCATCTGTACTCATTTGCTGGTAGCCAAGGAGGGGGTGTGGTTTCCAGTCACGTGGTGAGGTGGCCTGCAGCTCCTAAAGGGCAGAGACCATGACTTTCTCTCTAAAGTCTGGTGTATAGTAGGTGCCCCATAAAGTGAATGGGTGTGACTGAGTTAACTGATTAGCCACGCCTCTGGAAGACACTGAGTGTTTGCAGGAACTGGCAAAGAATAGGGACCCCTGAGATCCCAGAGAGGGGTAAGAGGACCCCTGTCCGGGAGGTTCCACATTGCAGAACCTTTGAGCAAGTATCTGCATTTCCCACTGGTTCTGTGCGCACAGGAACTTAGTTGAGTTGTTATGAATTAGGACTGACCCGGATTCTAATCTGGTCTCCACCTTTTGGTTAACCGTGTACTCAGGGACAGATGACTCTCCCTCTCTAACCCTTAGCTACTTCATCTTTCAAGTGGGGTAACAATACTACCCTCGAAGGGTAGTAAGAACCAAATGAGTTATTTAATGATGTTAATTGCCATAAAAACAATTATAATTTGTATTCAGAAAATAACCCTCAATTCAGAAAAGTACCCATGTTCAATAAATGATCAGCTGTATTTTTATATACCATATGAAAAGAGAAAATTGGAATAAGTATATTTAAAAATATCTTTCAGTAAAAACAAAAAATCATACAGTAAATAAATTCTAAATAATCAGAATACTCTATTCTCCAAACATTCTGATTTTTGGAGTTTTTACTATACATGGTTCCAGTTAGGAAATATTTTTGTCTCAGTGAGACTTTCCTTTATATTTATGTTTGAGTCAAGCTATCTATAACGAGTATAATACTCCTCATAACTTTCATCTTGAAAGACGGACTTGATTTTAAAAGAACTAGTTTTGATAGATGCATAAAAATCATTTGTATTTCTCTTCATGAAGCCTTCACTGAATGCCTCGCAACTTCCATTTGTCAATCGA